ATATCTTATACTTAATTTGTTTCAAATAAGGCTGATAAATATTTTTTTCAAAATTAAAATTAAAAATCAAAAACTACAACTAAGCCTATACACTGCGACTGCGCCCTAAAAAATCCAATTTGTTTATGCACTAATTTTTCTTCCCCTTTTCTTCATGTAGTTGCATTCACCAGAATATCGGTATTGCGTCTACGGGGATTAGTGTATTGGTCAGCCTATTACAACTAAGATTCCAATCAGCGAAGCAACCCCCTTTCGAGACGCACAGGCTCCACTTCATTGCATTTTTCATTGTCATCCTCATCTTTGCCGTATTACTGCGAATCGGAATCAAACTCGAAGCTACCGGTTCAGGCTGCCCAGCGATTTTGAGCACGGTCTGCCTCTCCATCGGATATCTGAGTCTAATCCCGCTGCTTTGGATCATCGAGCCTTTTATTGGATGGACGGCACTTATCGTATGGTTCTTCTTCTTTGTAAAGTGCGGTTGCGAATCCTACGAAGAGCTGCGGGATTCAATTGTGGCTGCAGTTGGGCGTGCGACTAGCTTTCTGAAAGCCCTATTCAACCGCAGTCGCAATCAGAACGAAGAAGCAAACATATCTACTAATGTTTAAGCCAAGGCGGTGTTCAAAAAGCTGCAGATTGACAGAATTAAGAGGTGTTGCTCAGTTCATTTTGGATTTCACCATTCTGTTGCTCATTGCTATCTGGGTTAATTCGGAGTTTGGATGCTGATCGAATCTGGACGTGCCTTTAATTCCACTTGAAAACGGGGTTATGTTGTGCTGATCAGGAAAGAAAAAAAAAAAAAAAAAAAAAAAAGAAAGAAAAAAAAAGAAGAAAAAAAAATTGAAAAAAAGAAGAAAGAAGAAGGGCGTCACGTTGCCCTACTGCTTTTAATTTGGATTGGTTTTCCTTTTTGTACAGTCAAGTCAACAACCGGTGTGCGCTTTGACGTTGATTTGTTGATAGTAATGGTAATAGTAATTAGTAATGGTTTTGGTTTTCATTTTTGTATATTCAAGTTTCTTTTAAGTATTCAAAAAGCAGCATTTTTCATAAAAAGGAAAGGTTTTAAATTTAAGAGAGAAAAATGTAATTATACCAACCCACAGACCTGAAACGAAAATGAAAATGCATCACAAAGCAATTGACAGTCAAGCATGTACTCTCTGCATTCCTATTTATTTACTCGGACTAACTAGTTTTTAACCATCTTTTCATTGCACGTAACTTTAGTCAATACTTTATCAAATATGCAATTCCAGTAATTCCTAAAACCGTTATTTTACCAAACAAGTGATGCAGAGCAAAATACAGGACGCTACATTACATTATTGAAAGGTGGGGCAGCTGGAAGGCCTAATTTTTCTCAGGAAGTTTCTCTAACAACTCTGGTATCAGTTCCTCAGCTACCTTCATTTCCAAGAGTTCATTAATCACGATAATGCACAATACACATGGTAGAAGTCTAGGATATCTGTCAACAGGCTTCTTAAAGGTAAAATGCAAAGCAAGTTTTGCAGAGTTGAAAAGCTGAATCTGAGCTAAACATACACATTATTTGGTTTTACCTTATATTTCAAGGACCGTTGAGCATAAAACCAGTGTGCTTGCTGCGTTGAGCATAAAATCAATGTGCTTGCTGCCTATAACATAGAGATTTGCCACTACAAGCTCAACTCAAGCAGAACTATGATTATTTAGAAAACTTACTGTCCAGATTCAATTCCCAGAAGCTTCTTATTTCATATAGCATCTATAAAATGCAATCCTATCAATTTGCTAGGGCTCAAGCAGCCAGTCAGTTTTGTACTTACTACAAATTACAAATTACATGGTCATAATTTAAGCTATTGCATCCTTTGAGTGCCTGTTTATGTTGGATGTGTGGGTGCGGAGAGAGAAGGGTGCCGATAGCTACCTGGAAACTTTCGAATCTTTCATACCAGCTAAATGTTGGATGGCTCCTGAAACACCAAATGTCATGTATCATTCTAGGGCTATCATTTTTCCACTTTGACCAACCTGAGAACAAAAGCAATCATGAACTTATATTAGACAGATAAACATGTAAGATGGAACAGTACAATATGATAACTAATGGCAGAGGACTCACAACAGATATAATGGCCTTTCAAGCAATTTCACAGTTTGGTTCAATTGCGTATGTAGTCAAATTTTCATCCAAACACAAGAAGATAGTTTTATGTTTTTCAAACACAATATGAAGTTTGCCCAAAAAAAAAAAAAGAAAACAAAATGAAGGGAAAAGGCATCTCAGAAGGCAATGTTGTAAGCAGTTCCAGCCACAATGGTAAGAAAGAGAAAGTAATGTGCTCAAGCACCCTGCATTAACTGTTTGTTTTACATATTTGCACTAAAACTCTTTATAATTGAACATTTAGTCTATCAAATCTTTTCTATTTCCCCCATTTTTTGCGTGGTTGAAGATAGGAGTTCTTAAAATCTACAAACATGAAAACTCACTATTAAGCTCTTTAATGCCGGTAGGAATTTAAAAAGATGAAACTTCTCTTTTCCCAAAAAGTAATGACAACTAGAATGGCAAGTACTATGAAAAATTCAGTCCTAGGCAATGGAAGTAAGTGTTATGGTTGATGTACCGGCAGCACCAAGTTTTTCCAAAAGCTTCTCTGTTGTTTTAAAGTTCTATGCACCTTTTAACATACACCCTCCAGTGACCACAATTTGTGCACTTACAAGATCAGGACGCCCTGTATGCTTTGATGTAAGCTTTACATATCTAGATTTACCAATAGAATCTGCAATTATGGTGAATGAACTAAGGTTAACACACCTTTGGAATTGTAAGTGCATTCAAAAAGTAAACAGACCTTCATCAAAGGTTGAGAGATTAACCTGAGAAGTAGGAGCTCCCTTAGGTTTAGCCACTGTAATTTATGTAGAATCTAATCTCTATCATCCAAATAGGGGGTATCTAATAGTTAAATCTTCAACTTTCATCTCAAATTCTATGCAGGAGATGTACATTTATGCAAAGCATGTGCTTATGGTAAACTTGCCAGCTAAAGCCCTTGAGAAAATTCAGAATGCATAAATTAAAATGGTAATACACACCTCTGTCTTTGCAATGCCAATATGCCTGTTGCCCTGTTGGAGTCAACCACAATAGCAGGAGAATGACAGAGAAGATGCATGATTACCGATATATATGGCCCCTTTATTAATGAAGCCAGTACCTTCAATCTTCACTGGATTCCCTAAGATCCACATCTACAATCCACAAATTAGATAAACAAATTACACATAAGTTAAGATTCACCTACTAAAAATATATATTGTTTAATTCTTCCAATTTACTATGTATTGTCCTTTAACTCCATACATAAAAACGCTCTATGTAAGCTTATGGGTTTTACTTCAAAATCATAAGTTCTCTTTAGGTGGCAAAACAGAAATTGAACAACTCCTATGAAGCTGATAAATTCTTCCAACAAACATTCCTCTATAACTAAAGCCCTCAAAGCTAAGATCATACATATCACCCAGGTTTCATCAAAGTCACCATTGTTCTTCACAATGTAACATTATCCAATGTTCCATTCCATTTCGCTTTCCAAATGTTACCACATGGACTGTCCAATCCAAACACCTTGCTCTATCTTAGCTATTTTAAGGATGACATAAATAAAAGTGAATGAACAAAAAATAGCACACTCTGAACTCAGGAAATCTACTTTAAATGGCATACAAAATTCCAAGCTGTGATCACATATCTGGTAACAGTACCTAGATATCTACACTCAACAAAACTTATCATCTGATAGACTGACACGACACAATCTCAAATCTGCTTGTGATGTTTCAGCAATCAAAATAAATGAGAAATCTAAAGGTGAAATGAGCAGCTAAAAGAAATTTATCAAAATTAAGAACCTTTTGATTGCTGAGGTAAGATTTTAGAAGACAACTTAAACTTTTCCCCAAAGAGTATACAAATGAAACTTGGACTTTTGTCCATTTAGATATGCCTTTCCAAGAAATGAAGAAATCAAGCTAAATTTCAGAGTTTCCCCTTTCTTTCTTTCTTTCTTTTCCCTTATTTTTAACAGCAACCATAAGAAAGTTCAGAAACAATTAAAAACACCAACAGATTTCCTCCGACCCTCATGTTAAAAAAACTATACCAAAACAATCAACTTCCAAATTTTCTAGGAATCAAGAGAAGCTTACCATCAAACCCCCAGAGACATGGCCATAGACATTTCCTTGTGCACTCTTTGGTAAGGCCAGAGTAGTAGCACAAGCATGATCAATGCCTAGATTAATGTTGTTGTAACTGTCATTGTCAGCCACAAAACACATGACTATCAAGATAACAAGGTAGATACTTATTCACCATCATCAACATAAACATGAATGTTGATGTCATATTCCAAGTATTAGATGAAATAAAGGACTCAAAAGCATAACCAGCTCATAATGTGACAACATAAAACCCCCCTGGGTATAACTTATTTTTCTTACAATAATTCAAAGCAAAGATACTGCACCCATACATCTTTACAAAATGTATCTACCAAGCAAAGTATTTTAATGTAACAAACAATAGAGTACAATGAGATAGAATAACTAAGGTAATGAAACATTAGAAATACTCCAACTTTTCAGGAAAGCCAGTAATTTCTTCCATAACACCATTTCTATCTATGCCTTTAGGCAGTCTGTGAGATATTGGGGCAAAAAGGAAAACAGAACACAGCAGTAACTCGCAAGAGTCCCTTTATAATGCGACCCATCAGGCGCTCAATTAAAACCCAATCCAGCACAAGAGCAACATCAAAAGATTCATGCCCGTTAAAACAAAAGAGGACTCCTCAAAGAAGCAATTATGACTCGGCATTTTGAAGAGACCCTAGGTAATGTCAACAACTCCTTAGCGCTCTTTGGATGATCTATATTTTGGGGTAGATTTTGGGGTAAACTTTCGTATGAAAGTGTTGTTTGTATCACCCTAATTATATTATTTACTCTTTTTGTACGGGTAGGAGTACCCCTTTTACTCCAACTTAATAATACTATCTTTTGCTGATCAAAAAAAAAAAAAAAACTCCTTAGCGCTCTTCAACTGTTGTTCCTTTTTCGCTACAATATGAATTGTCATCTCCTCCAGAACCTTAGCATTACTTAAAAAGTACTCAACCATTTTCATGCAGGCTTCCTCCTCTTGGAATGACAAGATTTCAATTGTCTTGAGATGAAAGGACAAACAAGTAACATCTAGCCCGAATCAAGATCCCAATCTCTAGGAGGCTGCTGATGACAAAACATAACTGGTCATAAGTACTACTAAATGTTGGCTACAAGAAATATAAGTTAATATTTGACTTTATACCTCAATAATTAGAGTTTCTAGACAATAAGAACGTGAAAGAAAGTATTGCAGGCAAGCAAAGTGATAACGCTGTGTCCAACCAAAAATTTTCAAGCGAGTCATGTTACTCCACAAAGGGATAGGAGCTTTACAGTCTTGGAGACACTGTAGAGTAGCACAAAAGGGAAAGTTGTGGTTAGTTGAACAAAACAACTAAACTCTTAAACTAGTAACTAGAAAATATACCACTCATAATACGTTGTGGAGGCATGGAGAGAGCAGCATCAGAAATAAACTATAAAAAAAATGGAAAACCTTACCTCTAGAGTATGAATGGAAATTTGAAGTGACCAAACACTTGTTATCCCCGCCAAAAGATCATTTATGGCAGCAGCATAATTTGCAGAATCAAACCAAAAATAAAAATCTATAACTGCTTCACAAAGAGACTGCATGTCTACAAAAACAAGGGGATGTAATTCTGACTCAGAGAAACTGAAGTAGACAAGACTTGGGGCATTGATCACAATCTGTGGAATGACTGGATTCACTCCTTCATATCTCATATTTCTTATGATAAGTCTCTTGACTGTAGGTTTAGAAACCTCGAATTTTAAACAGTCATATCTTGCACAACAATCATCCAGAATCAGATCCTCAAGAACTGGGCAACCACAAACATCCTTTCCACAGATTCAGCATTTGAGAATCCAACACAAAAGTGAAGAATCTTAAGCCTTGGGAGACAAACCTTGGATGGGAACTCAAAACTGTCATAACCCGAAACTAAACACAATTTCAGGACCACCAGTGTCTCACAAGTAAATAAACTAGCTGGCAGGAACTCGAGATTGATATCAGATTCGGTTATGTCAAGCTCAAGCTCTTGAATACTATGCCACATTACAGCGCGAATCCATCCATCAATTCGCAAAGTGTCAAATTGTGGAGTACCAATACCCTCATTATAATAAATGCACTTGAGACGAAATCTAACTACAGATTGTCTGTTATGGAAGAGCAATACTCTATCTACGAAGTTCATCAGATGTTTCACACTTTAATCATCACGGTAATCAGGCTGCAACTGAAAATCAAGATTAGAAACCAAAGTGTAAAGACACCTCCACCTTCTTGACACAAAGGATGTGCGCACTGCATCTTTAGTTGGAAGGAGTGAGAGGATGTGGCAAAGGACTTCAGCCGCCAAGCAATTGATGTTTTCCACGCTGCTCAGCACCCATTTGGCTGCCATTAAGATAGTAAAGATTGCTGCGACAGCAATTCAGGCAACAAAAAGAGAGATGATAGTACTAATTGCTGCGGAAGTGTACAGACGGAGGCGAGCAGTCGGTGTTGATACTTAATGGTCAGGGTTTCTCCCAGAATCCTCAGTTATCTTGTACGGTTAATGGACTGGGGTTTCGGAGTTGTTTTATGAGTTTAGAAACGATTGCAAGCCTCTGTTAGAGTGACCAGAAAGGGAATGAAGTCGTCGAAGCTGAGGATCGAAAGTTTCTGCTTTAGTTTTGGGAAGAGCAAAGAAAGGCAAAACCATAAGTTAAGCCCCTGAACCAACCCCAGAATAGCTATTAAGCCCTTAGACTGTAATTGATGCATATAAGCCCTTGAACTCGGGGATCAAAGCAATTAAGCCCTTCTTCTTACGCCAACTTAACT